AGCCCGTCCACCAAATTATTTTGGAAAATATATTGATAGCATCCACTAAAGCTGAACCCATACCCTTTGACCTAGTAATTCTAGTCCTGAGTATATAACAAACAAAAATGCATGCACATGCTCACGGAAGATATATTTATATACATATATATGTATGTGTGTGCATACATATATATATATTCATACTCAAAAATAAAAAACAGCTCAAAGGCCCATCAAGTAAAAGTGACAGATTGATAAGGTCACATAAATGCGTACAGCAATAAAAATGATCAAAACAACATAGATAAATCTCACAAACGTTTTATATTCAAATAAGCCAGATACACACACATATACACAAAAAAACATACTATATGGTTCTATTTTTGAGAAGTCAAAAATAAAGAAACAGTAAATAATCAGGAATGTGAGCTTGGAGATAAAACAGATGCAAGTAGCATAAAAGTCAAGTAAATGGTGAGTACCAGGGAGTGGGTCTGTGGTGGCCCCTGGGGTAGGTGTCTGTACTGTATTTTGAACCACTTGGTGTTTTCTGTGTTATAGAACATTGATCTATGCATCCTTGGTTTGTGCACTTTTCTGCATACATGTATACAATATTTCACAAGTTTTTAAAAAAGCACCATATTATAGTGAAAGGACCCTTTAATTACCAAATTTGAATGCAAGCACCATTAGAACAGTACTTTTCTGTTCTGACAATTATAGTGTTCTCTGGACCTAGAAAAATGTTTGTTACAATAAATACTGTTGAACAAGTGAATAAATCAAAGCATAAATTAATACAATACCTGTGTTCTAGCCAGGTCTACCATTTTTTAGGTTTAGCACAGGTTAAAGGTTCTAGGTTTTCCTACTTTATGTATCTCATACTCACTTGTAAAATAAGGCTAATATCTCCTCTACAAATTTCACCAGGCTTAAATGATACATTTAAATTTTACACAATAGCTTTCATAAATGGAGAAAAATATTTTTGATAGAAGGATTCACATAGCAACACCTTAATTAACAAGGATGATTGAAGAATGAATATAAAATCTTTCTTGTGCAATCTTATACTTTATAACTAAGTAATGGTCTAAAATGGTTTAGAAATTTCCCTGCTTTGTAGAAGAACACGCTGAACGAATTTTTGTATGGCAAAAATGGCAAAGCACCTTGGTTGTTATATTAATTCTGTAGTGCTGCATAACATGTTGCCACAAACTTGCAATAGAAACCACACAAATGTGTTAACTCACAGTTCTGCAGGTCAGAACTCCGGTGTGACATGGCTGGGACCTTTGCTTAGAACAGACAAGCCCCAAAGCAACATGTCAGTCATGCTGAGCTTATGTCTGCAGGTTTTGAGGAAAAATTGATTTCCAAGCTGATTCTCTTTGTTGGCATAAATGAATTTCTTGCTTTTTGTAGAACTGAGGTCCTTACTGGCTTTCACTGGGGATTGTTCTCAGTCCCTAGAGGCTGCCCACGGTCCTGGCCACGTGACACCTTCCATCTTCAAATCAGCAATGAGGCGTCAAAGTCTTCTCAGGCTTTGAACCTCTGATCGCCTCTTTTTTGTTCAGTAGCCATAAAAACTCTTTGCTTTTAAACAGCTTGTGGGATCAGGTCAGGCCACTGTATAAATCTGAAGACCAACTTTGCTATATACCAACTTAACCATGGGTGTAAAACCCATCACAGTCACCGCTCCAGGGATTATACTGGGCATGAACACCAGGGGAGTAGGAAATCTCAAGGCCATCTTAAAAGTTTGCCTACTACAGGTGTTATCATCAATGATTAACTAAAGAAACCATCAAAGACTGAGTAGTCTCTAAGATGTTTAATAAATACTACTTTTTAAAAGTGAACAATCAGGAACCATAGGCAGTAAAATCTCAGATATCCCACGTAGCAATACGTTTGCTGATGTATCTCCTAGGGCAACAGGTCCCAACCTTTTTGGCACCAGGGTCTAGTTTCATAGAAGGCAATTTCTCCAGGGACTGGACAGAGAGGGTGGGGTGAGGGAGATAGGAGGTTTAGTTTAGGCAGTAATGTGAGCAAACCTTTGCTTGCTGGACCACCCCTCACCTCCTGCTGTGTGGCCAGGTTCCTAACAGGCCCCAGACCAGTGTTGGTCTGCAGCCCAGGTATTGGGGTCCCCTGTACTAAGGAAAGGTAAATAAAAGAAAAAAATAAACAAATGGGACTACAAATGAAAAGGCTTCTCCAAGGCTAAAGAAACATCACAATAAAAAGGGAACCAACTGTATGGGAGAACATATTTGTCAATAATATATCAGACACGGGTTTAATCTCCAAAATATGTAAAAAACTCATATGACTCAACAGCAGGAAGATGAACAATCCAATTAAAAAATGGTCAAAGGGCCTGAATAGACAGTTCTCCAAGGAGGGCATACAGATGGTCATATGAAAAATAGAAATGTGAAAAAATAGTCAGCATCACTAACCATCAGAGAAATGCAAATTAAAACCACAATGAGATATCACCTCAGACCTGTGAGAATGGTTGTCATTGATCAATCGACAAACAATAAGTGCTAGCGAGGATGTGAGAGAAGGTAACCCTACCACATTGTTGGTGGGAATGCAGACTGGTACAGCCACTGTGGAAAACAGTATGGAGTTTCCTCAAAAAATTAGAAATGGAACTGCCTTTTGACCCAGTGATTCCACTGCTGCAAATATATCCCAAAATACCAATTCAAAAAAACTTATGCACCCCTATGTTCATAGCACTATTAATTACAATATCCAAGTGTTGGAAACAGCCTAATTGCCCATCAGTATATGAGTGGATTAAAAAACTGTGATACACTTACACAGTGGAATATTACATAGCAGAAAGAAGAAAAAAGGAGTGCTTGGAGTGGGAGACTATTATGCTAAGTAAAATAAGTAAGACAGTAAAAGACAAATACCACATTATCTCACTTGTAAGAGGAATCTAATGAACAAAATAAACTAACAAGCAAAACAGAACCAGAGACATGGAAACAGGGAACAGACTGACAGATGCCAGAGGAGAGGAGATGGGGGAATGGTGGAAAGAAGGGGAAGGGATTAGTCAAAGAACGTGCATGAGTGACCCATGGGCATGAACAAAGGTATGGGATGGACTATGGGAGTGGGGGGAGAGCCGAATGGAGCAGGGCAGACAGAGAAAAATTGGGACAACTGTAACAGAATAAAGAAGAATTTTTTTAAAGTTAAAATAAAAAAAATATTTAAAATTTTTAAATTAAAAAATAAATAAAAGGCAAACTATTAGCACCAATTTAAAGCAGGTACTTTATAGCTCTACTATCGTGATTGTCAAATTTATGGATTACAAGCTATTAGTGAGTCATAAAATCAGTTCAATGGGCTGCAATCAATTTATTTTTTAATTGAAATAATAAAAAAGAAAGAAAACGAAACCACCATAGGACAACTTAGCATGATGTTAACTGTGATCAAAAGTTCATCTGAAATCTTGAAATGAATCCAAAAATAACTCAGGTGGAAAGAAACCCTCTATAATCAAGTGGGTTTTAGTTATTTGTATATGCATGTATCCAAAGAGATGTATGTACATGATGATCAGAAAGCTTTGAAAGATGCTATTTTAGGTTACAGAGAACTCTATTATGGATGTGCAGCTATCACAGCTTTTACTTCATAGAATAAGTATTATCTTTAGAGTCAAGTTTGACATTCTTTTGTATTATTCTGTAAAACACACCTAAGAATTCTAAAATTTTGTGGTTTTGTAGCATTAATTCCTCCCAGAAAAATTACATAAGTGATTTCTTATCCTTTACTACCTAACTTTTGAAGCATTAGTTTTCATTTCCTTTACTACAGGCAGGAGAGTCTTCAAGACCTGCCCATATTTGGTCTCGTTAAATACATTGAAGTCAACTTATCCCTAAATGAGCAAGCATTTTTATTACTACAACCAGTAGCATGTTTCCATACCATTTCTTCTTCTTCCAGAGGACATTTATTAGTGATAGATGCTTGGGAGCCAACTGTTCTATGGCCTTGTGTGTCCATAGAAATATGGGTAGTAGCCTAATTCTGCACACAGCCATGATCAAGGTAATTCTCCTGGCGGTTACTGTGTACTTCACTATACACCAGCATGGGGCTGAGCAGCGGCAATTCAAAGATGAATAAAACTAGTCCCTGTACTCACAGTATACATGCATCTACAGCACTAAAATATATTGTCAATGTTCTTTTTATTTTTCTTTTAATTTCTGTTCCTTACTGTTCAGACTGCTTTATCCTCAGATCTACTTATATCTCATTGATTCTGCTGTCTTCTGCTTTATTTCCCTGTAGAGTAAATTTGGGTCTTCAGCAAATGATCAAGATACTTGCATGTACCAAGTTCTCCCAATAGTGTTGCCTATAGTATTGCAGTACAGATTGTAAAATAAACACACCATATTTTCCAATGTATTAGCAAGTAACTACCAATTTTTTAATATGTGATGAAATGCTTTAGCATACCCAGAAATCACTTGGTTTTATCCCAAAAATCACTTAAAAATTTTAAATTAGACCAGAAAGTGTCTAAAGTGTGCAGGAAAACATTCATAATCATATTAAATTTTACAAAGAAATATTGAATTGAAGCTCTCTTTGAAAGAGAAATTACAGCAAGATGAGGGTTATTTCATAACCATTGTGTGTGTTTATGGGTTTGTACAATGAAAAGGCAATTAGCACTTCTTTCCACATCTGTCAAAAAGGGTCACAAATGTCAATGTCTGGCATCATATCTAAGGTTCAACTGAAAACTAAAATATAAGACTAAAGCACTACGAGCAATAAATCGAAACTCACTTAACAGTGGGTCACTAGCATAGCTGGAATTATTATACAGATGTCTCTGTGTACGTTACGTGCCGTTGAGTCAGCTCTGACTCCTGGCGACCCTGCGAATGAGTCATGTTCATGATGTCCTGTCCGCATGCATCAGCCCTGCTCACCTCCCGTGGACTCCTGCCTGTAACTCCTTTAGTCAAGCAATCCATTTCATCTTCAGTCTTTCTCTTCTCCTTTGGCCCTCTTTTTTTCAGCGTTCGTGTTTTTACCAAAGAACCCTGCCGTCACGTGATATGCCCAACTTAGGACAGCTTCAGTTTCATCATCTTTGCCTCCAGTGATGTTTCAGGCTTAATTTGCACCAGGACTCACTTGTCCGTCTTTAGAGCGGGCCAGGCTTTCTGCAGAGCTTCAACGCCACATTTCAAATGAATCGCTTTTTTACACCAGCTTCTTCACTGTCCAATTTTCACATCTGTACAGAGTAATTGGGAATATAAGGGTGTGGATACTCTTAGCCTTCGTCTCTAAAAACAACTTTGTTCTTGGTTATTTTTCCCAAGTCTCCCATTGCTGCCCTTCTGAGTCTTTATTTTTTCTTGATTTCTTGGCTGCAGTCTCCATTTGAATTAACAACTGAAACAAAGTAAACCAAATCTTTAACAACGTCATTGCCTATGTTAAAATTGTGTATCTCTTTTGGAGTCATGATGTTTGTCTTCATGATGTTCAAATGAAGTCCTGCATGGGCATTTTCTTCTGCCACTATTATCCCGTCTATCTAATCCTAATTTATTCTACTCACTGAATCAGGGAAACAAGCTGGGATTTGCCACTTGATAAGTCAAAGAAAAATAGAAACTGCTAGGAGAGATTTCTTCCCCACAGAGCAGCTTGCCTAAGGTGTTCACAACATCCACCCACTGAAATTTAATCATTAATGTAACACATCGCCAGAGAGATGAGGGGCAGCAGTGTGACACGGGTTAGTGAAATCTCGAGAGAAAAACCAACAAATCAAAGTCCTGTCGAAATAAAAGATAGGAACCCAGAGGACAACATGAATTTTGTCTTGCACGAAAGAAATATGTCTATTTACCAATCTCTACTTATTTAGTTAATCTCATCTTCACCACCACCCACCACACCAGTATGAAAGATGCAGTGAATTTTTTAAAATAAAAGGTGGTTGAAATGGCACAGTCTGACACACTGCTAGTGAGGAAGATAAGGATTGATTTTCAAAGGCTGTTCTAACATTTAGCTTTAACAGTTAGCAAAATAATGTTGCTGATGAGATAGGTCCAAAGGTGCACAGAAGACAATTGGAAGAAGGAGCAGGCAGTAGTGAAAGCACTAGATCATTGAAAGTGGTGTCACAATGCCTACAAGGCTACTCAGGAAAGCAAGTGATGAAGCCGGTGTCCCAGGAGACCAGAGGGAATGGCACCACACTGGGGCTGCCTGCTCTGCTTCGGCACGGAGCCGTGGTCTGTCTGCTCCATCGAGTCAGAGCCACGAGGGCAGTGGGGACAGTGCTGCACCATCTGATTTTTCAATAGAATCTGAGGATCTCAATTTTTGTGTTAATGTTCTCATTTTTTAACTGGAAAGGACAGATGAAATTTATGTTAGTCATTTTAAGCTTTAAGTCTGCTATATGTTCTAGAAAGAAATAACTACATGGCAGAGGAGGGCAAAGGGGGGAAAACTGAAACAACTGTAATAAAATAACAATAAAAATGATTTAATAAAAAAGATAGGATTGTTCTGTAATTTGGTTACTATTAACAAAAACATGACAAAGCTTTGGAAACACTATTATTTTCATCATTAGCTCTGGGACATGACTCAGTGTAACTTATTTTTTTAGTTAATAGTTTAAAAAAGTCACACAAAATTGCCCTGAGCAGGCAGTAACTGTCAACAGAGAGGACCCGAAGGTGGTCAGGACCAGGGGGCAACTTGGATATTGGTCTCAACGTCCAACGAGGCACTGGAACAAAACCAGCCATTACAAACTAGAAATTTTTTAGAAAAGGCCTTTGTCCAATTCTTTAACCTTGGTGCATAACCTTAAGAGTGGAGGAAATATGATTTTAATATTTTTCTCCCACATAAATGTCACACAAGTGTATCAGCATATTTGAAAGGTATGTTTGTGTTACTTCCAGTCCCTTTATGGCCTGAAATGTCAGCACATAGTCAATAGCTCATTTCCTGTTGATATTTAGAACTAATTTATTAATGAAACCAAAGATTCATTTTTACAACTCCCTTCCTCTCCATTAGAACAAAGACTGCTTGGGGTTCTGTATACACCTTCCAATTAATTAGGATGTCTTTCCTAATTACCCACTCATTTTCACATCAGCGTGACCTGGGTTGTTTCTCAGTCTTCAGAGCTGATATAGGCTGGAGCTGCCCTCTCCTGAAACCGAGGCCCTTCACTATCCTGCAGGGTTTCCTTTCTCCAGTCCTTCTCACAGCAGTTTACTCAGCATCCTCACAGCACCGTTGATTTGCCACTACAAATCAATTTGCCACTTTGCCTCCTTCTTAAATGCCTTTAGCCTTTGTCCATGAAGCCAAATGATGCCAGTATCACAGCTAAAACTTGCTAAGTAGTGTAACTGGACCTCAGTAGCTGACCTGAATGTTAAGTTCTTAACCTACAAGAGTCTCCCAACATCGGTTAAATTTGGTCTCGCCTTTGGCACCTTAGAACATTTTCTTCAGTTCATATTATTTTATTCTGTTTTGCCGAAAGAGACGCTGGCCATTTTCTAATTTGTTTGTAAAATCTCTCCTTTCTGACAGTACTGTTTGAAAAGAAGGGAATTTCAATCGGTGTTTTTCTCTGTGTCCCAAATAAAGGTTTGTAGGGTATGAAATACTGAAAGTTGTAGTCAGAACAAAGACAGTGCCACAGATAAAGGAAAATGACACCACACGGCAGCTCAGTGAAGAGGCAGCTCAGGAAAGAGCAGCAAGTGTCTCCTCCACAGGAAAAGGGAATTTGCAAATGCACCTCAGTGTGAAGCTCAGCAGTTTGCAATGTGCTTTCCATGCGTATTACTGACTGACTCCCTTCAATGGTTGTGAGTGAAGTCAGATTATTTCAGACTGTCAAATCTAGTAACTCTTCTTTGGTGAGTTTTAAAAGTTTTGTATATATATTCAGATCATATAAATGGCAAGTAGCTGAGAGTAATTCACTATAAATCAATCATCACTTTTCTACAGTACAAAATGTAAGAATTATGTATTATATATAGAAATATAGATAGACGTGAATATTATATGTGAGGATACAGGATTATACAGGGAGGAATAGTACAGAAATTTATGAGAAAAGGAGAAACTCCAAGGAGAACAGGATTTTAAGGAAAAGAGAGAAAATATACACATAAAAATAAACTAAAATAAAAATGGGAGCTTCTTCTCAGAAGGAAGCTTGCACATGTGAGACAGCCAGGATTCTATGGGACACAGGGTGTGACTTCCAAGAGAAAATGAGCCCATGACCAACTCCCGGAAAGTGGGAAGAGGAGAATCTCATCATATAAAACCAGTTAGAACTGCAATATCCAGATGATATCATGAGGAGAAATTCTTCATTCATAACTAGCCCAAGAGTGTCAACTCACTCAAGAGTTCACTAATAAAATTGACTAATAATATGGGAAATGGGAATTTTTTCTTTCCCCATTCCTAATCAAATTCTCTTTTATTAAACATTTTATTGTGACTCTATTATACTTGTCCCAATTTTCCCCCTTTGCCCTCCTCCTTCCAGCCCACATTCTGCTTCCACAACACTCTCCACCCTGTTGTCCATGTCTCTGGGTCATTCACACATGTTCCTTGACTAGTCCCTTCCCCTTCTTTCCACCCTTATCACCCTTCCTTCTCCCCTCTGGTCACTGTCAGTCTGTTCCTTGTTTCCAGGCCTCTAGTTCTATTTTCATTGTTAGTTTACTTTGTTCATTAGGTTCCTCTTGTGTCATATAATTGTGGGTTATATTTTTAGTTAGTCTTTACCAGGAACAGCTCTTAGGGTCTGTAAGGCCCTTGCTTCTTTCAAACACATTGAAAACTTAAATGAGGAAGGGATATAGATCAAAATATCACACTTGTTACTCATAAAGACTGAGTTAGAGGACATAGCTTATTGTGAAAACCATAATAACCCTGCTAACTAAACCTGATAATTTGGCAGATTTTACCACCTTATTACAGGTAACATTACACAGCAGAAGACCTCCTACCTTTGGGTAGAACGGTGGATAACTGCTGCTCCCTAGACCAGCTAGCACCTGATAAGGAAAAAATGGCATAACTGAGATAAGCATGATGACTTTATGTTTACTAAATTCTCCAATCAGATAAGTCACCCTTACTTGCCAGGAGTAGAATAAATGGAAATGGAGATACTCTGGGAATTTCACACTAATGAAGCTCTTCTCCCTTGGACCTGTGTTACAGATAATGGTGAAGGAAAGTCACATTCCCGCCTAACAGTGCTTGCAAGAACATGTTTGAAAAATTACTGCTAAAATGTGATTTTATTACAAAAATCACAGTTTGGTAATAGGCATTTTCACATATCATAAATAATAGAATTTTGATAAGATTCTTTATCCAGGCCTGTAGGTCAGTAAATAGAGGGAAAGAAATCACACACAGAAAGAAAAGATGATTTATAGGCCAGATAAAATAATTTTAGAAAATTATACCTGTCTCTGAATGATTAAGTGTCTGAGTTTCTTAATTACTACTAATTCTCTCTGAAATCATAAATTTTAGAATTCAGTTTAGAGTTCAGTTAAATTTTACAGAGTCATAACACCAATTAATGACCATCTCATCTGGTAAAGAAAAAACACTGATAGGAGAATAGGGCCCTAATGTTTCCCTAATAAATGTACTGACTCATGATTTTTAAGAACATAGGGAGTCAACTTGTGGCAGACGAAAAAGCATAGATTGTCACAAAGAGTCTTTTATTCTAACCTCAGATCTGTCACTCCCTTGCACTATGGCCCTTGACACAGCTGGGCCATTTGCTTCAACTCTAAATGGTAGGAGTTGGGCAAAGTGGTTTCTGAGGGCTCTTTGAGATCTACAGTTTCAATATGTCATCATAATCATTTCTAACATTACTAAATATAGAAAACAACTTTAAACTATTTTTGAAATACCTTAAATTATGATTCTCTATTATTTTCATAGACTCCTGTACTACTGCTAAATTAGATATGCATTATTTGTGTACCGGATACTATATCCCATATGAGAAAAGCAACAAAAGATCCATTTCTTGGGTAATCACCTCTTAACAGTGTTTTCCAATGTAAGTACCTACACTCTCTTCAACACAGATTCATGAAAAACTGTACTCCTTCTTAATAGTAGTCCTACTTACACAGCAGGGGAACTCAATGTTGATGGTGTGCACCAAAATATATATAAACCTTAGCCACGCCATTGTACAAGAAATTACTCAACTGAATGATGGATAGAAATGTGTTGCCAACACATAAGTTAATTATTATAACTGAATAAGCACTTAGAGAGAGCTAGGTATTAAATAACTATGACTAAGAATATTAAATTAGCCTTGTTATATTACAGGAAGGTTTGATAATAAGGATTTACCTTCTTCAAATATTTGGAGAGCATAAACCGATTAAATGAATATGAAGTGCAAAGCTAAATAAACAGCAAAACAAGACAGTAAGCACACAATATAAACTGTTACAGGAAGTTAGGGGACCGCAACATTTGGGAATTGCCATGGCTTT